TTAGATGGATATAGTGCCTTGCTTACGTATACAATCCTGTCAATTTGTTGAAAATGCTTACTGTTTGATAATAGTTTCCGTTAAAAAGTTTATTCTTGGTAACTTTACCCTATTATCAGCATAATTACAACACAAACTGGAATTGAACTTTATATATACACGGCTTTATTGTAAGTTTGCAACCTCTGTTCAGATTACAGATTTACAGGTGCTTTAGTTTCCATTCTTCAAAAAGTTATTCGGTATCCTAAATCTTTACTTTTTCTAAGCGTTTTTTACGTGGTTATTACTTGTAAACAACTAGAAACCATTTTTCTTTCCCATTTTTTTCTGAGTTGTATGGGACGAAAAGTGTATTTGCTGAAAAACATTACCCTATTTTATGGTGTGTGAACGAAAAGGCTGTATGGTTGGAACACGTTGAAGAACATACAAAAACTTGTAAAAAGTTANCTCTTAACAGGTTGATGGCTACAGAAATAGTTGATCTTCTTCCCTGGGATAATTTGGCAATTACACGGAAGAACAAAAAATCAATTGAGTCACAGAATCAAAAAGTTGTAATTGATTTTGACTGTTTCTACATGGCATTGATAGCCCATCTTGCTCTTGGATTCTCAAGCAAACAAATGGAATGGGTAATTCTTGTATGCAGATTTGCTACTAGGATGTACTGCTCTGTGTTTGTGTGCATGCGATTGTGTCGTGAGTAAGTTTTTTGATGATTGTTTTATGTTATTTATTTCTGATACTATTTTGTTACCTAATTTTTTCTGCAGATTAACAAGGCAAAAACTATATGCGAGTGTTTGATTGCATCAGAAGGTATTGATCTAAAATTTGAGGGAGCTTTTTGTATGTTTCTTCTTGGACAGGTATACTTTTCATTCTCTTCTTTTTTTTTTTTTTTTTTTTTCATTTTTATATGTATAATCTAAAATTTTTTCAAAAATAGAGTATGGTTGTAATACTTCAATCCATTGTTAAGATATTGTCGATTTATTTTACCTATATCAAATAGTGGAGCTCAAAGTGCATCTCAATTGATACTCTTCATTCGAAGACGCACTCTTAATCTCACTATTTGAGGAGGGTAAGTGATAAATTCACAATATCTTAATAATAGACCAGGATGTTATAATAGTATATTAACTCGAAAATTACGGCAGAGATTCGAATACTTTAATTTTAGGAAGAAAAACTGACCCCCCTGATATAATTACAAATGATGAAATTTGAGGTAGTAGTCTCAATCACAAGGTTATACATTAACTGTAATCCACACAAATGGAGGGCAAAGATTGAGGGATGGGTCCATAATTGTGCAACTTTTTTTAAGGTTTTTGCATGCATGGAATGAAATGAAAGAAAAAAAATTAAGTGCAATACAGAAGTCTCCATTCTTTGAGTAAATGTCAAGAAAAGGAAGACATAATGCAACAAAATGGATGCTTTTTGGTTATGTGTTTGGAGTTGTATATGATTATCTTCTCAGCATGCGTAATCTTTTACCTTTATCTTTTGCTCTATAAGTCTTAAATGGAAACCCTTTTAGGTTTTTGTAGCCTTCTGAAAATCTTCAAGCTTTTGGAATATATCAAGTTTCAATTTCAAGATTTTTATTAATAAATTAGATGAGATGTTGTTAGATTGTTGTTTGATTTTGTTCCTTGAACATACAACAAAGTATGCTCAACACATCCTGATTATTTTTGACTTGTTTGATGATGTTTTGTTTGTGCTTACACTGATTCGGTTTTCTCGACTTCACTTGTTTTCTATTAATATAAACAAGGGTCGGGATACTTTGTCTTATCTTTTGACTTAAAATTTAATAACTCTCCTCGACCAAAGGTGGAAAAATGAAAGTTAAAATGTATTTATTTCAAATCCAATTCAGCAATTCTTTACACCATCAGATTGCATTAAATAAAAAAATTATTAAATTGTATCAAAAATTTAAGTGAAAATTTTAAACAATTTTAAAATTTATATGTATAGACCACTACATTTCAGTCAAAATTTCATCCATATTCTATATTACTTTTTAATTGATTAATTATTAAATTAAATGGGAATTAGCCAAAGTTTTAAATTAAAAAGAACCCTAAACCCTTAAATTTTGCTCATAAAACTATTAAATAGCCTTGAATGCTTAAATTGCCCTTTTATTTCTTGTAGGCACTCCATGATGCATAGATGGAGTAGGGGAAACATGATAAGGCAAAGACAATTATTATGTATGCATTTTAATTAGAAATATGCATGTGAGGTTGAGGCACAAAATAATTTGAGAGATTGGCAATAATGGCTTCAAAATGTTAGTGATATTCTTCTATACTCCCATTATCCTTCAATTTGGGGGTAAAGATTTCCATATGCTTTTTTAAAGTAGCTTATTCATAAATAAAGAGAAGGAAAAAAAAAAACATAATCATCTATCATTTAGAATTCGAGAATCACTATAATACCGTTCTAAATTAAGTTGAGTTGTTCATAATGTTTGCGTAGATCATATTATAAGATATAAAAGCAATAAATCATCATAAGTGATAAATTCTCTCGTACTTAATTTTCATATGTTAAAAGTAGTAGTAAAAGGTCAATCACTTTTATTTCTCAATAATTAAGTTTAAAATGAANAGACAATTATTATGTATGCATTTTAATTAGAAATATGCATGTGAGGTTGAGGCACAAAATAATTTGAGAGATTGGCAATAATGGCTTCAAAATGTTAGTGATATTCTTCTATACTCCCATTATCCTTCAATTTGGGGGTAAAGATTTCCATATGCTTTTTTAAAGTAGCTTATTCATAAATAAAGAGAAGGAAAAAAAAAACATAATCATCTATCATTTAGAATTCGAGAATCACTATAACACCGTTCCAAATTAAGTTTAGTTGTTCATAATGTTTGCGTAGATCATATTATAAGATATAAAAGCAATAAATCATCATAAGTGATAAATTCTCTCGTACTTAATTTTCATATGTTAAAAGTAGTAGTAAAAGGTCAATCACTTTTATTTCTCAATAATTAAGTTTAAAATGAAAGGGGAAAAATTTAAAAAAAAAAAAAGAAAAAAAGAACCCTTATAAATTACAAGGATTTTTTGTATCATTCTTGGAAGTATTAGACTTTTTTTGTTTTTTTTGAAAAATTCAGAGATGTCTTTATAATTATTTATTATCAATTTGTCTATGATTCTACTGGTGGCTAGTTATGAAAACTGGATTTTTCTGTCAAATTGAATTAAATTAGACTATTAAAATTAACTTAAATCCCATTATTATGCTTATTTTATCCCGTATTAAGAAATGTTTAAGTCTTAAATTGCCCCATAACTTTCAAAAACTATTAAAATTTTCCTAAAATTACTAAAAACCTTTTAAAATATGAAAAAACTTATCTTTTTGTCTATCTTCTATTTAATTACCAGATTTTATATCATATTTGATGATCTTCACATGAACGTTCAGCATTTAAATTAATTGGTACATGAAGTAAACCCAAATGTATCCTTGAATATCTGATCTTTTTGAAATAAATTTGATGTGTTTTTCTTGGAAAGGATGGATGATCTCATCCTCTAAGTTGGGAAATAAACAAAGTTAAATATGTGAACAAAATGCAAAGTGTTTGTTAAAAATCAGAATTGATGAAAGCATTGGATGACAAAGGAGTATGAATTGCAAGGTCATTCGCTAACACTTTGCTACCACTCAAGGGCACCAATTGATCCTTGTCTAAAGCCCTAGTTTGCGCAAAGTCAGTCATCCCACAAGACCCCCTAAGAGACACTATGATGTGTTATTTGGGGTGTAAAAAGAGTTAAAAAAGAGCAAATATTATATGAAGTAAAAAGTTTTTTACCTCACGTTCATTCACTCTGACATGCATCATTAATTTTAAGATGGAACAATCACCATTCGACATAAAAACAAACACCAAAAAATTACAATATGTGTTGGGACAGACTTTTCTTGATGTGAAATTTGGAGTCAGTGATTCAATGGACTATCATTGTTAGGAACAAGATGCCATAACTCCAATATCAATTTGATAATATTATTGGATTGTTACAATCTTTAAACATCGAATAATGTTATCGTCTAATATTCTGAAAGGGTAAATAAACCTTTCGGGAGTGGACAAGTTGAAGTGGTAGTTACAAATTGCAGAAGCAAAGTAGAGTAAGAAGCCATGTGAGAAAGGGAGTGAAAGATGAAACGAAGAAGACAAATAAGTTAAAAGTTGATGTCAACATCTATTTTTGTAACTTAGTTTTGTCTGGTGCAGAACATCAATGGAATAAGTGGTCAAATATAGCAGCTACAACCCTACAACAATCCCCAAGAAAGAGAGAGAGCAAATGGCATGGCATGGCATGGGCTTGAAAATTACATCAATCATGTAGTATTTCTTGTCTTCACTTCACATTGTGTCATATGGGTAGGTTTCCTATGTATGGTAAATGTGATGTGAGCCACGTACCCACGTACCCATGTCCACTAACTAGTACTACAACAAAATTAAATCACACCCCAATTCAATTTTACAAAATATATATATCATTTTCAATCTGGGTTCTATCTGGGTTTCTGAGGCAAGACTTTATTATGAAGAAAGGTATATTTACTTCTTGTAGACCGTAGAGTCATCTGAATTTGGACAAGATTTTATATGTATGAGTCTGAAATGGATAAACTCTATCTGACTAATATGCTTGCAAACAAAGAAAATATGGGTATGTATCGTAATTTTTTCTAACTTTTCAATGAAATTGATATTACCCATGTGAAAAGGAAGGCCAAAAATTTACTATTTAACCCATAAGTAAAGAGATTAAAGAAAGCAAAGACCAAAGACTAAAATCCCCTTGTGGGCTCCAATCATATACAGATTTTTATTGATTGAAACAAAAAACAAGAAGGCCGCAAAATAATGCCTATATAAATCCCTTCAACTCATTCACTCAAATCCCCCTTATCTCATTCTCCTTTAACCTCATTCATTCCTTCAAGCATTTCTGCAAACACATTTCGACATTTAAACAGCCGTTTGAAACTTTTCGTTTTGCTCCACCATGGCTCGACCACAACAACGATTCCGCGGCGTCCGCCAAAGGCATTGGGGCTCCTGGGTCTCCGAAATCCGCCACCCTCTACTGTAATTCTCTCTCTTTTTCCAAACTTGTTTCGAAACGTTTCGTTACATTACAATTTGCTATAAAGGAAGCAAAAGAACGTGACATTTTTATCCAAAGAAAACGTTTTTTTTTTCTTTGCACAATTTAATGCTGTTCATGTTGCTAGATAGACTCTGTAATAAGAGAAACGTTTCGTGTTTTTTTGTTTTTAACTACAGGAAGACTAGAATATGGCTAGGCACATTCGAAACGGCGGAAGATGCGGCAAAAGCATATGATGAAGCGGCAAGACTGATGTGTGGGCCAAAAGCACGAACAAATTTTCCATACAATCCAAACGAGTCACAATCTTCATCATCAAAACTTCTTTCAGCAACTTTGGCTGCTAAATTACATAAATGTCATATGGCATCTCTCCAAGTTAACAAAAAAAATATGAAAAAAGAGCCACAAGATCAGCCACAATGTGCACCATTCGCCGGGAAAACCATCGAAACAAGCCCCGAATGGCCGGAGACCAAATGGGTTGGCGCCGGAGAATCCCACATGGATCAAAGTGGTCAACAACAGTTTAAGTCACTTGAAGATGATCACATAGAACAAATGATACAAGAATTGCTTGACTATGGATCAATTGAGCTGTGCGGCAATGAAAATTCAACATAAAAATAAAAAAGCTGTACCAGTATTAAATAGCTAATGCAAGTTTTTCATGTTTTAGTTTGAAGTGGGGAAGAAAAGTAGCCATGGATAGAAAGTGATAAAGGTTAATGTAAATGAGGTAATTTAGCTTTTGCATAAAGTTTGAGTTCGATAGTATGAATGCATTAATGTGAATGACTCAAAAGCAAATTAATCTGATGCGTATGCTGACATTGAAGATCAAAACTTTATGCTGAGAGAGATCGTTTCTGGCTTTGATGTGAACAAGTTTTGCTTCAATTCCCTTCTTCTTCTTTTTGTCTGTCATGTACATGAATTTAAAGGGGGGAAAGGAATCCAAATCTTGGAGTTGTGCAGAAAAGTGAAGAATCAGAGGTTTGAAGACCCTTTTTAGGCGTCCATTACTTATAAATAAATAATATTAAAGAAGTTTTTTATTCTAAATTTTCTTCGACTTTTAAAAGTCTTATAACATCTTTGAGGAATAATAATGTATAATTACAATTTATTTCTTTTAATATTTTCTTTTAGGATAATATTACATTTACAATTCAATTTCACAAACTTTCTCTCATCATTCTAACGTGACAATTCGTAATTTTTCATTTCGTAAATGAGTCTTTTCTTTTCGCTATGGATCTCGCCTATTAATTTACGAACTGTTATATCTTGATTGTGAGATAAATTTTATAAGATTGGGTTCTAAACCCATCTTTATCCTTTCTTTTATCAATCATCAATCGTATTCAAGTAATTTGTTTAGGTGAAAATCTGATCAGGAGAGGGTTTTGATCTGTTTTACGGATTCTTTATAAAAACTTAGTATCATAACTAGTTTTTTAAAAAATATGTTTATTTTTTTAATTAAAAGTTAATCACAGTCAATTCATTGTAATGTCAAATAAATATAAGTTTAATTTTGGGTGCATTTGGCTTGTTTTTTAGACCAATATTTATATAAGGCTAGATTGATTAAAATATAAGCTATAGAGAATCAATCATTTTGTAGGGTCCAAAGCTGGGGAAGGAAGACAAAAAATTGAATTTCCTTACATATAGTGAAAAATTAATTAATTATTATGATATATGAAAAATGAAAGAAAAATAATTTCAGTTTCCATATAGTATAGAATGGGTGACAACTGTTAAATTGACTTAAAATACAATAATGATAAGGTACCAAATTTCTAAATGAGTCCAACTAGTGTTATGTGAAAAACCTTTTGATTTATAAGAAGAAAACAATTATAGGGTTATTTTCATGAGCAGGCAAGAAAACATGGTATATTAAAAGAAATATTTGTTTATCATGAGGCTGCTGTCTGTGTTTCTATTAATTGATTGTAAGAAGATTTTACAAGTAATGTGAACAAGAATTTGAAGGAGGATTGGATTTCCATTTCGTATTAAAATAAAAACATTCTCATTCGCTTTATAAAGTTGAATGAGAAGTGAAAAAGCTTCAGGATTGGGATCCGATCCATACATAGGTTCATTTGATTTCTTTGGAGTTTGGAAACATCACTTTTAAACCCCCACTTTTTGACCCACCTAAAATTCCTATTTATTGCTTATTTAGTCAATTAACTCATTTGAAAATTGAAATTCTACTAAAGTTTTTGTAAGAATTTGTTTTTTTTTTAAATTTCTTATAACATCTTTTGCAAATAATTTTTATATTTCTCTTATTATAGTTTTTACGATTAATTATGCAATAGTTTTTACGATTATTACAAATCGTCACAGAAAGTAAGTTTTTATGGCAAAAATATATCTTTATTTTGTTAAAGATAATTGTGGTATAAATATTTATAAGATTAATTATGTGATATTAAATGGTTTTATATGTGTAAAAGAGAAGTATAATTGATGAAGAAGCAAAGCAGGATCCTTTGAAATAGTGTACTGATCTTGACAATAGGAAAAGTTTTTCCACCTATGAAAGCGATTTTCACTAAACTTTATTAGTTTTGCATGGGAATTGGGTCGGTTATGATAAATTAAATTATATTTTACGCTTACAATTTCCAAGACCGAGAGACCCACATGTGATTTTGGGAGCTTGCCTAAATTTTTTTTAAATGATAGGCAATGTTGGAGTGAATTTATGTATATTTTAATTAATTTTTAATATTCAGAAATTATTAGTCTGGTAAGAGTTGTAGTGGCTACCTTTATTAACAATCGAGGATGAACTCAAATTTAAAATCTCTTAAATAATATATTCAAAAGTATCACTCGATTATCCAAAAATAGTTAAATTACAATTTAATTTGCTTGCATCAGTATGATTTAATTAAATCTTATTAAATGTTTAATGCCCTTAAGTATCAAATCCCGTGACATATATGTTATGACGGTAATTAATACATAATAATTAGCATTTAATTGAATATTAGAGTTTAAAATACAAATTTTAATACATAATTAACTCATGTTCTTTGCTTTCTCTTCCCGTTATAGAAATTAATTTTGTATGAAAAATAAGCATGGGTTAAATGAAATGATACATGTTTGACATGCTATATATGCTAGTTGCTGCCGTTCCTTCAATTCCACCCTCTAAAATTGATTGATTGATTTATGGTTTTGAAAGTATATATTGGTGGACCAACATCTTTAATCTTACAATTATATTCATGCTTCATCATTAAAATTATTTGTACTATAGTTGATTTTGTCCCCCACGATTATTCATATTTAATTATAAGGTAGATCAGTGGTACCACATAATTACTCTCTTACAAGATTATCACAAAAATTGTAAGGGAGAACGACATTTTCCCACCCAAGGTTTGGTGAAACGACACTTTCCCACCCTTCAAGTTTCAAAATGACACTTTCCCACATTTCGCTATATTCTGTTATGTTTTCCATTAATATTTTACTAAAAAGACAAAAATATCCTTAAATATTTGACTTTATAAAAATTTTATTATTTTTAATTAACCAAAAAGTCAACTATTAAAAAGTGAAAAAAAAAAAAAAAGTTAACCCCACTTAAAAAGTTACAAGTAATGCTATAAAATTGTTTAAAATTAAATGACCTTAATATTTATTTATTTATAATGTCATCAGTACTATTATTCAATAATCTACTAAATTTATAATGTTTTTCATAATATAATGATTTTCATTTTTACTAATTAATATAGAAAATCAATATTCCTAATTAATTAAATAAACAAAAGAAAAAATATATCTTTATACTTGAACTAATAAATAATCGAGTAAAGATTTTAACTTAACTAAATTTTAATTTATAATAAACTAATTAAGAAATAAACTGTTTAAGGGTATTCTCATCATTTCAGTCAAATATTAACATAAAACACTAACAGAACCTAATGAAATATGGAAAAGTGTCATTTTGAAACTTGACGGGTGGGAAAGTGTCATTTCGCCAAATCTTGGGTGGGAAAATGTCGTTCTCCCAATTGTAAATCCTTGAATAAAATTATATTCAAATTTGCGGTCACATCTAGAATAATGTATCATTCCTAAAATATATTAATTAATCATATGTGGTAGATCTAATTTTATGTAATCATAAATTATAATTTGATTTATGAATTATCTTATGGAGTAAACGACTTTTTCCCACCCAAGCTTTGTCTTAATGACACTTTCCCATCCAAAAAGTTTCAAAATACCACTTTCCTATCCAACGTTTTATATTTTAGTAATATTCAAAATATACTTCAATTTCTCAGTCAGCTTTCGACAAGTTACCAAGAGCCAGGATAAGAGCGTTTTTGTAGAGTGAAGGTCGGGGGATCAAATGGTAGTGAACGATTGACTATTCACCGTCGAAAATCAGTTAAGAATGGGAAACTCTAACTTTGCGATGACCAGCGATCGATAAGAAATCAGGTGTTAGAGTGAAATGAGTCTTATAGAGAAAAGACCAGAGGTTTAAACGGTGGTAATGGAGAGAATTTTCGTCACTGTAATCAACTTAAGGTAGTAACTAAATATTAATTTTGGGTGAAAAAATGGTATTTTAAAACTTTTTAGGTGGAAAAGTGTCATTAAGGCAAACCTTGGGTAGAAATATGGTCCCTACTAACTTTACATACGCAATATAATAATAATCGTATATGTATTGTTTTTATATGTTGATTATGATAGGAATATGATGATCAAATTGATCCTCAAATAAAACCAAATGATGAAGTTACTCTCCATAATACAAAATCACATTTCTAATCATTATTTTTTTATATAATTTTATGGTTAAAAGGCAAGAAAGCAGTCAAAATTAATGATAGTACTTGGAATGTGATATGTCTAAATTCTAAAAAATATCTTATTGAAGAAGACAATCATCATGAAGCATTCAGCAATCAGCTGATAAACTCTTCATCATATTTATCTATTTTCTTCCCTTATTCAACTTTGGATCTCTTTATCATCATTGTTTTAGATCCTTGGAATAACATCTAATTAATTAGACCTAATATAATTTATTATTTTAAATATAATTAAATACAAAATTTCTATTTAAAAAGTTTATTTCAACGAAGAGAGAGTGTTACATTAAGACTTAAACTACTATGGGTGGTCTATGATAAAAAAAAAGAGTTTATGAGCTTCTGATTTTAATTCCTGACTACGTTAATAGGGATGACCACTGAGAGTTAATTAGTCGTCAATTTTATGAGTCGAAAGATTATTGAAGTACGCGTAAGCTAGTCTAAACACCTCTGATCACAAAAAAAAAAAAAAAAAAAAAAAAAAAAAAAAAAAAACTAAGACTCATCACTGAACAATTTTCCAACGCAAACTTGGCGTTCAGATAGGTTCATAATCCAAACTTAGATTCTTGTTTATATATTATAATTTTGTGTTTTCATGATGAACTCATTTATAAACCCACCAAGAATGGCTTAATTTCAGGGTGCATGCAGATGCAGGATGTTGGGCAGCCACCAAAAACGCCAAAACAATCTCTATCTCAAAATCTACTGAAATTTTTTTGAATATAAACGATAGCAAAAGTGACATAGATGTAGCATTTATGTCCTGACATTAGGGTTTCAAGACGACTCTCCCTTCTCTTTGTTATTTCTTTCCTCCTCCCCATCCCTTCACATGCAAAGCCACATGTTATTCAAATATTTTGCCCCCATTGACATGTAAGCATGCACATGGACATGGTTTTAGAATTTAGCTGCTGTAGCTACGTCTTTCTTTATGATGTAGGTTAAAGAGACAAGCTAATCTTTTGCTTCAATCTCTACCTTCATTAACTCATTTTTGCAAGTAGAATTTTGTTTTTTTTTTTTTTTTCTCGTCTTCTTTCGCTTTCTTTCCATCCTTATAGTTTTCTCTATCTGACTAATAATTCTTATGCCATATGTGTACCATTTCTATTTTCATTGTCTTTCCTAAATTCTCACATGGGCAGCCATG